CCTCCACCCAGCCGCCCTGGCGCCCCTCTCCTCCACCACCGCGGCCGCCCCACCCCTCCGGCGCCCCCTCCTCACCCGGCGATGAGACCTCTTTTATTTTTTTCTATTTTTGTTTCTGTATTTTAAGTTTAGTTTAGGTTTACTTTATGTTTGGTTTAGTTTAGGTTCACTTTAGTTTAGGTTTACTTTAGGTTTGGTTTAGTTTAGGTTTGGTTTAGTTTAGGTTTATCATTTGCTCTGTTCAAACTGATTGATTATTGATGATTGGGAACTGGTGGCCAGTGTAAAATTTGTCAGGTGTACAAACAAATGTTTGTCTGAAATTTGACATTGTTATGTGATTAAATTCATTATATTGATTGATTGATTCACTCACTGAGATTGGCTGATCAAGCAAGCAGTGTTCCCCTCTTCTTAGGTTGTCAACAACTGATTAATTTGAATTGTTGAATAGTAGTACAATGTGTGAGAGTGTCATGGTCATGATGAGCTAGATTGCAATTCATCAGTGGTGATGAGCTGAGGGTGAGTGTGTAGTGCAATGCAAACGATTGTAAAGTGGCAAGCAAGCAAGCAAACAGGGGAGGGAGTTGGAAAGGGTGTGGGGTACTACTCCTCTCCTCTCTAGTAGTCATTATGCTCACATAAAGGGAGTTGTGATCTTCCTCTTCCTCTTCATATTCTTCTCTGTCTCTGTCTCACCATGCATCATCAGCATCGGCATCAGCACCATGGAAATAATCTAGGAGTATCTATCTATCTTTGTGTTGTGCAAGGGGAATTAGAGAATATGTTTGTATGTGTGTGTGTGGTTAGCTTGGGTACTGGTGGTTTGGCTGGCTGGTTGTTGCTCTACCACCAAGAAAGGAAGGACTCACTCCCCACACCTCCTCCCCTGCTTATTTGCCTTATATGCCTGGAAATGTAGTACCAATTTGCCGCGAAAAGTGATAACAAGCTCTTGGTAACTTCAACTATATATTGCCAACCAGAGTTGCTTCCACCTTAGGAATTAACAATCAAGAAGAAGAAGAAGAAGATAATCCCTAGTTTTGAAGGGTGTCAATTGCCATTGCCAACTAACCTACCAAATTAATTAAGTGTTGTTGATGTTGTTGAGCACAAATGCATTGCTTTTTTTCTCAGTTTTCTTTCATGTCTAGAAACTTGGCTCTATGTTTATAGATATGCTTCTAGATACTAATTGGTCTCTTCTGCTCCTTATTAGAGATGGGGAGAGGCCGTCACCGCAGGCTCTGCTCTGTCACACCGGAGTACGAGTTGGATGCTTCTGAGTTCTTCAGTATCATACTTGAGACTTCCTCCAAGAGGCAGGTATATAAAAGGAGAGATCTCCCCTTCACCCATCTCATTATGATAACTCTGTTGTTTGCTACATCACTCCTTGTCCCAATATGCAGAGGCTGCCTGACACTTTTATGATGATGCTGGATGGCCATCGGTCAAAGAATGTGAAGCTGCGACAGGCCGGCAGCGGGCTTCGCAGGCTTTGGGACATGGAGTTGGTGATCAGGTACGGCCACATGTACCTGTGTCGTGGCTGGGAGCAGTTCTACCGTGCCTACGACCTGCGGCACGGGTACTTCCTTCTCTTCAAGTACGACGGCGACGCCATGCTCACCGTGAAGGTGTTCAACACGACTATGTGTCGCATGCGCTACCAGGATGACGATGATGCCAGTACATTCTGCCTCTTCTTCCTCTATATTTTGCTTTGTCTCACATTGATTGTTAACGGTCATTGTTGCATTTGGTCAGGCAATGGGAGCATCAGCATCGACTCTGGCTACAACCAAAGTTGCAGCAACTCTGGCTGCATCAAAAGTAGCAGCGAGGATGATCCGGAATGGAGTGGGGACGAAGAGGAGCAGAGTGGGGATGAGGAGGTGCAGGCTGACGATGGGCAACAGATAGTGGTGGCTGAGGATGACGTAGCAGCGGTGGTGGCTGATGATGGGCAAGAGATGGTGGTGGCTGAAGATGACCTAGCGATGGTGCTGCCTGAAGATGCCCTCACCATGGTGGTGGTGGTGCCTGACAATGACCTCGCGATGGTGGTGGCCCCGGCGATCCCACAGCCGGGCGACATGACCATGCCAATTATGGTAGAAGACTACATCCCACAGCCTCCACCGCCTCGCCGCTCTCTGCGCATCAGGATGAGTAAGGAGAAGGAGAAGAAGAATGAGGAGTGAACTATGTCAGGTATGTCAGATCTCCAGAATGATCTATATATACTTGGCTTTGTTTCCTCCGAAATGACATATGTTTTCTTTGGCGAGCATATTTGGTCAGGTATTCAGGAACAAGTACTCGGTGCGTTGTGGGTTTGATAAGTTTCAAAGGACTGACTGCTGTTGTATATCATTCAGACTTTCATGGCTATAAAATTGGGAGCGGTCCTCCCACATTTACATTTGAAAATAAATGACTGCTATTACTACAAACATTAAACATAGCCGAGCTACGTTCAGTTGGCAAGCTCCAGGATCATATACAAATTTTTCTCGGAGATCCATCACTCATGCACAGAGATACAACATACTTCCTCCGTCCGAAAATACTTGTCATCAAAACGGACAAAAAGGGATGTATCTAGATACATCCCCTTTTATTTATTTTGATGACAAGTATTTCCGGACGGAGGGAGTACTACTACATCACGGAGAAAAACCAGCCTCTTCTCGTTGCTCCGCTGCTTCAAATACCCCCTCATCCTCTGTTAACACGCTAACCAGCCACATCTCCATGCTATCCTGCGACCCCAACTGCATGTCCTGCCGCAAACACGCAGAGACAAGGTGATGAGCCAATGAGCCATGAGAAATATATATACACCGGGAAACGAAATGTGGCGGCAATCGGTGCACTTACGGTGAGAAGGGAGACATCCGGAGGCATTCCGAGGTCGGGGAACCCCAGGAGCGCCTCCTCCGGGATTCTGCCGTGTGACAGGTGTTCATCCAGGCCAGACACCGCTGCGTCATCCATGGCATGCGACGAGCTTCCAGCGAGCCATTCCCCCGCTTCCCGAACTGTAGACACGCGGGACTCTCCCTCCTCCTATCACAGTGGCAGCGGTAACATGAATAACAGTGAGATGCAGGAGCTGTGCCAATTTACAAGGTGACATTGTACTCTGCTAAGTGCTGACTGCTGAATGTATGCACAGTGTTAATTTAGGAGGAAGAATGCATAATGTGAGACTGTTGATGATATGCTGCTCTTATGTTGCTAAGCATGAATCTTTACATAGAGGACTTGAAAGCTTGTGATATAGTATTTGTGAGACTGTTGGATGCACTCTTGCAAGCAGAGGAAATTCTCCTCTGTAGTAGGGGCATCTTATAAATTTTTGTGCAGTATACAGCTGAGAAGGAATTGCAACAGTGGGATTCTAGTATTGCAAGGCCTTGTTTCAGGAATCCCAGTAATTCACCAACAGATCAGTACTATTAATCCAATACTCTGAGAAGGAATCCTACAAACAGAGTTCATTGGATGTACATAGGATTTATTTCATGAACTGTATATAGGAAAACTGAAGCTTCATATGATCCATAAAGTTAGACAGAAGTTTTCACATAGGCAAAGAAGATGTACCTGATTCTGCTCGGTTCCGGATGGGCTGCCGTTTGGGCAACGAGTCTGCAGAGGGTATGTCATTGGGGTTGTAGGATCGTCTTCCCCAGCAAATGAATCGAATTCTTCATTAACACCGCACACTAGAGACTGCCCAGCATTCATTGACTGCACCTGATAAAAGACTTTGGAAACAACAAGCTCCTCCTGCTTTTCATCTTGATCTACCCCAAGGTGGTACTGATGCATTCTCCAATTAGTTTTCTCTGTCTTGCCACCTCCTTTCCGATAACCTATGTAAAGAACCAATATTTTCTTCCACCCTTTTATGACACCGTTATTATCTAAGATAGATCTGGATTTTCCAGTCTTGTGCCATCTGAGATTCTCATCACAAACAGTGTGGTCACTGTTGCTAATCTTGCGACGCTTACGCTTGCCAACAACGTATGCATTGGATACTTTGTGGAAGAAGTGACCGGTGCTCCCGTCCATCTTGATACCTACAGGGGTACATGAGTTAACTACCAAGAATTACTCTTCATGGTATAAGTATTTAATTCAGAAGGCCCTGATAGCAAGTCCAAGTAAGAATCATGTACCAGGGAGATTTTCCGGATGTGTATAGCAGATTCCTTGGGCCTCCTTTATGGTTGGAATAAAATCATCTATTAGTACATGGGACGCTACCCTGCCAACCTTTCCTTCTAAATGTTCAAGCAGTTCGAGATCAGTTGGATCGAATTTAACACCAGCAGGGAGGCCTGGCCACTGTGATAAAACCTGCAACACAAAGCATGAAGTGCAACCACAAGATGCCCAGAAATCAGGAACGGAGG